CCCTGGCTAGGGCAACCATAAGACTGTGGAGTTTAAGATCCTGAGGGAAGTGACCAAGACAAACAGCAGAATTACATCCCTGAACTTCAGAAGAACAGATTTGGCTTGCTCAGGAACCTACATTGCAAGATTAAGCTGCCCTAAAGGCCAAGGGGTCCAGGAGAGCTGGCTAATCTTTAACAATGGCATCCTCGGAGTACAAGAACAGTCCACTGCAACCCATCTTCAAAAAAAAGGCAAGAAGGAGGATCCAGATAACTACAGGCTGGATTCAGACTCTGAAAATTATGAAGCAAATCCAATTAGAAACCATTTTAACCATGTGAAGGAGAGAGGAAAGAACAACCAACATGGATTTATTAAGAGGAAACCATGCCTGACCAACCTGATTGCTTTCTATGAGGGGACGACTGATGCTGTGGACAAAAGGAGGCCAGTGGATATTGTATACCTTCATTTTAGGGAGGTCTTTGACCCTGCGTCCCATATTCTCCCCTTTGCTAGATCGTTAAGGTATGGGCTGAACAAGTAGACAAGCATGGAAATTTGGCCCGACTCTGGGGCTAAGAGTGGGAACAATTAATACACTTGAAGGAAGGGCTGCTGATCAGAGGGACCTGGACAAGTTGGAGAAAAGAGCTAATTTCTCATGAAGTTCAGTATTAATGTGCTACATATGGGATGGAATAACCCATATATCACCAGAGGCTGAGTCAACTGTCTAGGAAGCAGCTCTGAAGAAAAGCAGCTCTGTACTAGCATCACTGGACTAGTGTTTTCAATAGGTCTGGGAAGGTGCTCCTATACCCTCTGTTCTGCACATGTGAGATTTTGAGCTCCGCAGTACTGACATACGGGATCTAGTCCAGCACAGGGCTATTGGTATGGTCAGAATACAACATACAACAGCAGGCAAACGTTGAAACCAAACCCTGATATAGTTAATGCAGACCTCCCAGAGAAACACAAATGAATTCATCGAGAATTTTCCACAGTTGGGCAAAAAGACTCCAGTAAAATTCCTAAGACATTTTAGGCCATTGGCAAAATTTTGTCTTTCACATCTCAACACTTTCTATGCACATTTGTCAAACAAGTTCTTTTAGTTTTCACTATCAAAAGATCTGAGAGTGATAGTGAAGTCATCTTATTCCACATATTAATATCAACGGAACGAAGACAAGAACCAACTGACAATATTCTAAAAAGGAAAATCAAAAAGGAGAGGAGTCTTCATTTACTATCCTTTTATAGTGTCTCTTTACTGACATGACTCCTTCTATTTAATCTCTAAGCATTACATATGGAAAGCAGAAGACCGATACACAGTTTAATGACCTGGTTCCTGAGAAACAGCAGGATAAACTGGCTTAATGTGTTTGCTTCTGTCAGGGAATGACTGGCTGACCAATAGATAAATGCTTGTTTAACACTCCCTGCTCTGCTTGCAAACACCTCAACAACATCCACACGTTTCTAAACAAGAAAACAAAACAGATTTTATCATGTGCATTGCTGAGTGACACCATCCTGTTCACTGAATGGTGTAGTTGTTCTGCCTTTCCTCATATCTTAACCTCTCATTGTGCGTTCCCGTCCTAATGCTTTCTCAGCCTGTCATGTGGTAGAAAATCCTGTCTTAACCTCCATTCTCGTATCTTCAGGACACACAGCATTTTTTCTGTGTTGCTATTTACCTCTCTCCAGATTAGTTTCCTAGGCTGACAAACCACTGGATGCTTGATGTCACATTGACCTATTCCAGGGACTTACATAGTATACTGACTGACCTGAATGCACTAAGAACTTCCTTTTCAGAAATCATCTAAATCTCATATTCTACAGTCCTTTTAAAGGCCCTGGCAATATACATTTACAACCTAAGGCAGATGGTCTTGGGAGAAGCTACCAAAGAGGGCAGCCACCCCCACAGCCAGGTGGCAGCTAAAGCACACTAACATTTTAGCAGGAGTCAAACCATGAACAGCTATAGCCTCACTGGTCCCTGGAAAAAGCTATGCTGATGGGATCAGACAGAAATCCGTGCTAGTGTTGCCCACTGCCTTCATGAGGCCTGAGCAGACTGACTGTAGCAAGTGTCCTGTGGGCAGGGCCTATATCAGGCCTGTGCTGATGAACAGCACATATGTAATGCAAGGGACTCATGCACGGAGTCGGACATGGATGTGGGAAGAAGTTTGATTATTTACAGTAGGAAAGCAGATTATGAGTTGGCTTGGATAAATTCTGATATGTTTTGTTTCATTTATTTGAAGAATAAAGGATCAATTAACATCACTTTTTTCAGGACAAGGGCGTAAAGAGAAATTCCAACTAGCACTTTGGACTAGTTGACAGCTATTCATCTTTTCAGTACATGTATCAGTATGAATCAGTACAACATTTCTGTATTTTTTCTACATTTGCAGAATAAAAAAAGAGAAAGTTCTGCATATAACAGGCATCACAATCATACCATAGCAACAGATCCTTGCCCTCTATTGTGCTTAGAGAATGTAAGATGATAGACCATTTGTTTTTTTTTTTCGCACATTAATCAAATTTGCGTACTGCTTGAAATATCCCAGGCAGATTCTGACCTTGGGACTTGAAGTAGTTAAGCCAGAAATGACAGTATCCTTCAGTCATGACAGTAGCCATCAGTAAGTTTACCTTCACAATGGTCCTCTTCTCTTTCTTCTCAATAATGTTTAAAAACTCAATTTGCCTTTATTCTTAAATAGCAGATTTTTAGCAAAATTATTTTTGAACAAGGACTTTGTGTGTAGGAAGTTTGAAGATTATTCAGTTTATAGAAGGAAGTTTATAGAGCTCCACAGCCCCAACCGATTACAACTTACGGTGGCAGAAGAATTGATAAAGGCAGAGGTCTTCTATTTATTCCCTTTCTTCACCCTAATTTAAAACCAATTTCTCTGCCAACTGCTTGCCTCTGCCAACAGTGAATCATGCAAGAACTTGCTTGAGATATGCAGAAAGTATCTGCACAGGAGTATTATCATTCAAGCCTCTCTGTGACAGATTTCTTTCACTGCAAAGCTAGCTCTGAATAAAATACATTTCTATCTAATGATTGTTTTGTGGATAAAAGACAGCAAAACATTATGTTAGAAATAAAGTGCTGAGGTTCCTATGTTGTCATGGTCCTGCAGTCTAGCACTTATCTAGACATGCCCAACCTGGCTTCTGGAAATTGCTAAATAGGTCACCGTCTCAATCGAGACCCAAAACAGATTCAGAAGATCTGTTCTGTAAGCCATAATTCACACTGCTCTGGAAAAGATTATGGAGAAGATTATGGACAGAGACTGTCCTCACGGAGATATACATGTATATATACATATGCATATATATGTATATGTACACTCACCACACCACACTTACACCCCCCTTCATGAACACAGGTAGCAACAGAATTAATACATATGTAGACATTAGCAATTAATAGAACACACAATCACTCCAAGTGCTTTTACCTTGGGATCAGGTATACTGTGATACCCTCACCTCATGCTAAAATTTCACAAAAATATAGCAATCAAATTAATTGCTTCACACTATGGTCTGTCACAATAGTGTTTTTTTATGAGGAACTCTAAAATACATCCATACAATAAGCTGCCATGAAAATACAATTTTATATAAGAGGGAAATTTGCCCAACAAAGGATGTTTATTTTCCTGCAGATATAAACACACAATAAACATTTCTAGTAAAGCAGCCTTGAGAGGAAGTGCTGCAGCCCTGTGCACGATAAGCAAATAGAAAGAGCCAGCAGCACCACCTGGTGTTCACTGCAACCTGGCAGAGAAGCACTTGTCCCAGCTCTCTCTGGAGCACGGCACTTCTCTCCAGAGCCACAATCTCAAGGTTTAGTTCTGTTAAATTCAGACTTCTTAGAAAATAATAAACATTAATAAACTGTGTGCCGTAGGAATGTATGGTCCATTATGAAAGATCTCCAGCCAGATTACATTTAAGGAGTATTATCAAGATATTTTGCTTTGCATAGCTAGAATTATTAAATTGAAATAGGAGTAGTAGTCCCAAAGCATTAAAAAAGCAAAGAGCTCCAACCCCTTATTTCAGGTGTGATTAATAAATTCTGCCTAGAGCAGGATATATCAGTTTGGGCTGAGGTATCAGTGGACACATGTTTTTTGTCCCATCCCTCCTTAAGAATGTGCAGAATTAGCTCACTTGCTGCAAGAGTGGGTTGAGTTAGTCTGTCTGCTTTTGAAAACAGTCTGAGGCTTGTTTGGAACTCTCCCTATCAACTTCCTCCTATTTCTGGAACAATGTTTCCCTTGTATATTAAACTGAGATTGCTTTTGGCAACTAGAGATCCTATCTTGACTGGAAGTCCTATTTAAAAACAAAAGAACAGTTGTTCCTTGTGTTTTTAGATAACTTTCTAGAAACAGATTTCTTCACAGCTCAGAAAGGTACCTGATGTTCAATCAAATTTTTTTCTTGTCACATTCTCAGCAAGTAATAGCATGTAAACCTAGACTGAGCTAATGCTTTTGGCGCAAATGTGCTTAATTGCAAACAAATACACTTGTTCATAAGTTATTTTGATTCTTCACACATCAATATTTGAGGCAAAAATGTAGGAATTCAGATCAAAACACTAGTTAGATTCAGCAAATGGGTGCATGAATACTTCTAGCTGGAACAGGGGTGTAGATAGCTTACAACTAGTCCAGTAAAAGGCAGCTGTGCAAATTCTTAACATGACTTTAAGGATACTCGCTCTGGATTGCTGGCTTTGAAATGATGTGTGGAAGTTAGATAGGTAAGAAGAAAAGAAAACAAACCACAGTCAACCCCTTAGCCCGCAAATGCCCTTCTACCCTTCCTTAGAGAAGAAATGGCAAGGAACGTAAGGAAAGCATTAAGTGCTAAGCAGCTACAAACATACAGTTTGAGTTTTGAGAACTAACACTGTCCATCTGCGGTGGCATTGTAGGACTTACTGTGGGGTACGGGTGCGAACAGAACACAGTGTATTTCCGAATGATGCCATTTAATTTAAGAGGAGGGAGCCAGGACACAAAGACAGTGGAGGCTGAAGCCGCAGCTGCTTTAACTCCAGCGGGAGGACCTGGAACTGGAAAAGCAACATGTAATGGTTAGAGTGGACTAAAGACACCTCGTCATCCTAATGCTACGGAGGAACAAACAAGAAAACACAAGTTTGCTGCTTTACTGACCCAAATCTGTTTGAAACAAGACAGAAAGTGTGCATCATGAAGAAGGAGAGGGTGTGAAGGGCTGTGCTCCCATCTGCAGCAGAGGAAGCTCTGCTTCATGAGATCTGAAAGCAGCAGCTAGGATCTGGCTGGGATGAATAGTGCTCCCCAGTTAAACTTTTGTGGAAAATCACCCACAGCCTGCATGCATGAAAGTATGTCAGCTGTGACCAGTGAAAATAGCCGAACAATAAATTACTATAAATGTTAGATGATTTTTGAAGACATAACGCACACCAAATGATAATTCTCTGTACAAATAACATACATTTGAAGAGTCTGATAGACATACACAGTGCAGTTCTGAATTTAACGAACTGCTGAGCAAATGAGCTGTAGCCCTATGCAATTAGCACTGCCTGATGTGACCCAGGTATTCCTAGCAGTGTGATGTGCGCTCGCACGCACGACATACGGCTACACAGTCCCCTTCCCCAAAGCCTTGCCCTCAACAGCTCAGAGCTATAGCTGCCACTGCAGTACACGAGCACCTATTTATTTCTCTAATTACAGTAGCTATTTATATAAGCTATCAAAAACTGTCATAGAAGAAGAGAGGAAAAGAAAAATCTTTAAAACAATGTGGAAAAAAACTTAAGACAGGAAATGCCAAAATCTTGGTACATGATCTTAGCTGCATTTCTTTATGTACTTACATCATGAGAAAAAAATTAACTACATGAGCATATATGTCAAACTCACATTATACTGTATAATGTTTTCCAACTTTGGAGGCTTTTTTTTTACTAATATGAAAATATGCTGCATGCCAGATTGCCCATAAAGTATCATAAACACATAAGCTTGTACTTACACACAAAAAAAAGCATGGACTATTTTTAGCATTAGACTAAGTTTGTTAAAAGTTTCCTGAAGATCAGGAAACAGGAAAAAATCTTTGTAGATACAGTAATTATAAAACACATAAATAAAAATAATTTTAAAGCATTTGCAATATTGCACATGGAGAATATTTGTGTTCAATTATTACTGACTCAACAGGTATGTTGTATTAAAATGACTATCATCTCTGGTGTTAAAGGAAAAATCAATGGATTTTGTTTTCTGCAGAATTTTTGGTTCATGAGGAATTTCATGTTTTTGTCTAATTTCAAGGAAAATGGTCAAAAAAAATCAAATGATCACCAATCCTTATCCAGCAAACTGATCTCCATAGGTGGACCATCAATCTTATTTCTATCTTATCTAAATGGGTAAATATTGTGGTGGCCTATAAAGAGATGCCAGACAGTCTGGGACTTAAACTTGCTTAGCTTTCGGTATGCAGTTATATTTCAAAATTTCAATTTTATATCTATGCAGCAATTTCTGGAAGATGTATGAAAAATGATAGATAAGCATCACTAAGTGCAATATTTCTGAATATGCATTTTCTATTTATAGTGTTTTGAGAAAGTGAATAAGGCACCAAGGGAGAATGTCATGATTATAATTGCATACAAACCCAGCCCCTTGCTGCAAAGTGGCTAATTCAGTTAGCAAGTTCCTTCTAGTGCAAAGTAAATATTGATGCTTGACAGCATTAAACTTGTTATTTATACCCCCATTAGAAATACTATTTGCTACTGCTGCTGAACAGCGAAAGCTAGCTACCAAGGGTAATTACTTAACCCAGGAGGATTCCTTTACAGTTAGTAATGTTTTCTGGAAATCACTGCAAATAGATCTGTGAGGTTAAAGTAATTTATTGTTAAATTAAGGTGTGATCTATAGGGACAGATTCTGATGGCAATCACTCATGGCTGTCGACTGTTGAGGGATTAACTCAGAATTCATCTAGCATTTTCCAGTCAATGGATGTATGTGGAAAATATTACTTGTCAACTAACAGCTGTATTTCTGACCAGTATACAGACCAGTAGAGAGAAGGACTAGAAAGGAAGTCAAGAATCATCTAGTCAAATTTCTGAATATTTTTAATACAAGGACCCCACAACATTTTCAGTGGGGAGAGGCCAAATTAGGCAACTTCATTTGCAGTGCTACCAAAATGATTTTGAATGTCCATTTATTACTTTTCTTTTTGCTGTATTTGCTTTTGTTTACTGGGTTGAACATGTGGAAGTGAATGTGTGTGAGGAAGCATTTAAATTTTCTTGGCAAGCATTATGCAGACTGTCATCTGATGCCAGACCACCACTGTCCAGAGGGCAAATGCCTTGGCTCAAATTCATTTCCTGGACCAAGACAAGATTATTCTAACTTATCTCAGTATTAATTGGAACATTTATTGCTTGAATACTTGAATACTCTGGAGAAGTCGTGGGGCTGGGGGGGTAAGGAAGGCAATGTAGTGCCTTATCCCAGGCACCCAGAAACATCCCAGTCTGACCATGATGGCATAAGATCATTACAAAGTATACATATCTTCCACTGTCTTCACATTCTGTAGCCTGACTTCAGTTATTACACTGAAGCATAAGCTTCAGCTACTACATGACATCAGTATAACAAGAACAGGATTGTCTTGCTGAATTCTCCAGTCATCTTACTTAGAACAACTATTCCTAAAAATCTTCATAAAGACAAATAAACAGGCACTATTTCATATGGTCCTTTTTTTTTTTTCCATTATCAGCCAGGCTATGACAATGATAAGAAGCTTGAAGAAAACCAAGGCTGAACACAGAGAAGCTGAGAGCTGCTTCTAGCAGTTTTGGGGACTTTCCAGGGATCTGATTTGGCAAATTTAAGATCAAAGATGGCCTCATTCTCCAGCTAGAAAGGCTTTAAAAGATACAGAAATAGCATGCTGCTTTCATGTGGAGGAGAACACTTTGTATTCTTGACACTGTAAATGAAATGCTAACACGGAGAAGGCGCTGACGCAACTACCCTGGGAAACAGCACTGAGAAGTGAGGGATCATGGGGAAGGGCTCTATGAACACTCCTGTTCTCTTTTTTATAAGCAGCGAAATTATCACCATGTTTCTTCACAGTGCAGTGCATGCAAATGCACTGAGTGCAGTACATTTAATGAAAAACAACACAAAATAAGCCCCTGACCACTGCCAGTGATGCCTTTGTTCATGTAAATATCCCATCCACAATTTGGACTTATACTAGCCAAAATACATTTACAGGTACTGTCCATCCATAATTCACATCAAGTTGTCCTCCTGTTAATTAACCATTTCTACCGAATTTTGCCATGTTCATATGTGGAACACTTACTCTTCTGTATCTTCGCCTATTTGAAAAAGTAAAATTGGAGATCTCTGACAATAAAATATTTTAAAGATCATCAAGGGCAGTATGCCATCATGGCATCTGGGTTTAAGCCCTTGAAGTCTTTCAGGACAAAAATGAACTATATAGCCATTTAAAACAGTCCAGACAGAGCTCTATTTCAAAGCTTCCAGAATAACTCTGATCATTGGATTTAGAATAAACATAAAACTTGGTCTGATGGTATCTATATATCTATCCTTCTCATTCCAATCACCAGGAAGGTTGAGAGTTCAGGGAGAGTAAAGAGAGGAGGAAAATCTCTCTGGATTCAGGCACAGTCTCGCAATGGGGCTAGGAAAGGGGGTTAGTGTTCCTCCTTCCTCCCTCCAGACAGGCCCCTCCTGTTTCCTTGCAGTTTTCCCCATTCTCTAAAAGCCCAAAGACAGATGGGAAATCAGCACAGCCTGAAAAACAGAGTCTTCTGTGTTTTTGTGATGTTCTGTGATACACGAAGAGCATTTTGTGGGTAAGAATGGATTTAAAAACTAGAAATAAATACATTTCCTGCCTCATCCAAGCCCCAGGAGAAGCAGCCACATTAGGCCAAATTGCTGAGGGGTAGCAAGCTTTCCGTGAAAGCGGGGCTTGCACTGCTGCATTCTCATCTGCAGGGTTTTGTCCAAGCCCAGGGCTGCTGCTGCCAGCCAAGGTGCTGGGTATCATGTCTGGCTTGTGGGGGGAGCAGATTCATTGCCTTATTTACAGTTTTATAATATCGCATTCCCAGCACAGCAACAGAGGGGGAAGATGTCAACCCCCCACTGCTAGCTTTGAAATTGTAGTTGGAACCCAGTGAGCAAGAGAATTTGAAGAATGATTTTAATTTTTAATGATTACTAAAATAAGTAAAAAGGAGAATCAGCTTATGAGAAAGTTTACGTAAAGTAGAAAGGATAAGGGATAAAAAGAGAAAACGCAATGAATTCTTAAAACTGCATGAGGAGAATTTAGGGGAACAGCTATTTTTTCTGAAAGCTAAAAAAAAAATAAAAAGGACTAAGCAAAAACCCTAAACATGATCCTTTGGAAGGAAAGCTCACTTTCTGGAACTTTTCTTTCTTAAGCCGAACAGCAGTGGTGTCTGACCTCTGGTGTCTAAAACCAGTATCAAACATTACAAGAAATTGAAGCTTCAGCTCATTTCAGTTAGGCACACTGCTTTACTCCCTGGGATTCTGTTTTCTTTTGTCACACTGGAGACAAAAGTTTTGCTTACTTCAGGACAGCTAAAGAAATTCTGCACTGATGTCTCTGAGCTGAACACCAAGAGGGATGTGACAGCAGGCCACCATCTGCCTTTCAACAGTGATAATGGAACATGCTGCACCATTGATTTTACAAAGAAATGTTGCTGCTAATGTAAAAGAAGTGAAAAAAAGAAAAAGAAATCAATGGCATGGTAGGGCCCTATAGTAATAATGATGTGGAGGGCTTGGCAGCCATTTAAAAATAATTGTAACTAGCAAAGGTCTGAAAGCAGGATATCAGGTATCCAGATCAAAGCTCTGGTAAGCATTTGTATTCCACATGCTGAGAGGGTATTCAAACTAACTTTATAGCGGGATCTTTTATCTGCACTGAAATTAGGTATACTGAATTATCTTCCATAGGACCCTCTTTTCCTTACAAAATCACACAGGAAATGTCTGTTCTTTCTGAGGAATGAGGCACCTGTTAGTTGCACACAGTTTGGCAATGTGAATACCTTTTTCCAGGCTAACTTCCATAGCCTTCAGGAAGTTTAGACCTAGGACTTTGGTTTGGGCTTATTTTAAAGGCAGCCTTTATGTAATCCACTTCAGACCTTTAACACCCTTAAAGAAAAGTTGGTTTGAAGCTGACTTGAAACATGAAATTATTGTATTTTCTGGAAACAGTTTTCAGCTAGTTTTCTGGACAAAAGATTTAATCAGTGGCACCACTGTGAGACATCACAAAAAGTCTGAAAAGGTTAGTTGCACAGTCTCAGGGTGAGTTATTGCTGAACTGCTCTGTGGCTTCATTGCACGGAGGATTAAAGATGACTGATGAGCCTTTGCTCAGCAGCAAAACACGGTCAGAACATATGTGTTTCCTAGATGTCAGGGTCTGTCTGGTCTCAGAAACAGAAAGAGCAAAGGAGCCACCAAAATTAGGCAGAAGCAAATGATGCAGCAGAAAAAGATGTGAGTGTACATGTGATAGGGGTAGGGAGCGATGAACAGAGCAACCAGAAATAGGAAATACTGTTACAAAGCAGGAAGTGATCCACTGATCTCTGTGTTCAGTGGCAGCAGGGCACAGGGGAACATGGAAATATGGAAACACTCAGCCCACTTTTTAGCAAGGTGCATTACGGTGCATTCTTTAACAGGTTATCAAGGGAGGCTACAGAGTCCCCATTACTGGAAGTTTTGGAGAAACAGTTAGCAAATATTAGTCAATATCAGCCTGGAGACACCAGATCCCTTTACAGCAGGAAGATGGGTTTGGTCATGTATCAGCAACCTTTCAGGAGCATTACACGGTTATTTTGTTGTTCCCAGTGACAGATAACCGGCATGGCTTCTACCATCTGATCAATCCTGAAGCTGAAGGAAGCTCACACAGAGACAAGGCACTGCACCCAGGCAAGTTTTGTTAGCTTATTGCTCCCTTGAGGTTTTTGACTGAGGAGGAAGCTGGACATGATGTTTCCAAAGAGCCCGCAATGTTTTTGGCCTGTGTGCCATTAAGCATCGACCCTGGGGCTTGGGGGTAGATTCTGCGGGTCATCTTTTGGAGTATTCCTTACTGTCCCTGATGATTTGGCATTGGCTGCATGTTGTGCAAAGACTTATATAAGAAAACACATTCTTGCCACCAGTGGGGGTGCTCTACCATGATTTCTGCCTTTCTGGGATGGGACTGCTCCTCAGCAGCTGGAGCAGTGAGAGACAACCCTCTGGACTGCCTATGGTGTAAGTCACAAGTGCAAAGGCTCTCGGATGAGAAACATTGTAACCAGAGAGTATTCGGGATAAAAGTAGCCATATTGGGATCTACATGTAAAACCTAACTTGAAAGTGCTGCAGCTGATCCTACAATTTGCTATGATTATTTTTTAGATTTTTTTTTTGAAAGAAAATCTCCAGGCACGGGGTATTTCAAAAGTGTCTCACTCAAGCCTCTGGTAGTCCAAAGTAGTTAACAGACATGAGAGTAGATCTGAACAACCAGCATTCAGGATACACATGTCTATGGCTGATCTTGTTGTCTTTGGCAGTTTCAAAATGAGTGTAATACCTTGAGACAGGTTAAGATACAGCAATTATTGCAAGTTGATTCTGGATCTCAGTGATTCAGACTTCTACTGAGCTCTGGAAGCAGTCTTACATTGACTCACATTAGTTACGATATGCCTAAATATCATCACATTTCTCAGTTATAAGGCACTTTTTTTTTTCTGTGAATACTACATTGATCAAAGTAATGGAAACTATTAAGACCATTTCGAAAACATAACAAAGAACAAATAGGACAATGGATAATGTAAGGAAAAATGTTTGGAGTCCTATTCTCATTTACATTGAATTCCCTGAGCACAGCTACAGCTGTGACCAGGTGGCCTTGCAATGGATGTAAATTTTAAAATGAGTTCCTTAATATTTTATTGGAAAAAAATCATAGCATTCATCAAACCAGTTAATCTATTGAACCAACTCCCTTAGGCAGTTTTGTAAACCTCATTACAAATGAAAAAAGACAAATATATTCATGACCTGTAAACTGGATGAGTAATAAAGAAAAATCCATTAAATTCCTTGCATTCATAGAGGAATATACTAATCACTGTTCATGTAACTACATTGATAAGACAATGGGAATTTTTATTCCTGACAAGAAACTTAACTACTTAACTATTTAGTCACTGGCATCCAGATAGTCAAAAGTCTTTAGGGATTTAAAGATGCCATTGGCCATCTTCTGTGATTTTCAAAGGTGTCTCATGAGATTTTCAAGGACATCTAAACAGGCTAGAGACAAAATTCCCATTGAATTTGATATTATGGTGCTTAAATTTTCCATGCTTGGCCTGTGACTAAGGCAAGAGATTTCTGTTATCATTTTCTTTTTGAAGGGAGAGCTTTTTGGAGAATTCTTTTTTTTTCACACTGAAGATCTTCTTAAAAACATACAGGTTATAAAAGAACATCCCGAAGTACTCTCTCCTCTTTTCCCCATTTTTAACCACTTTGAAAGAAATAACTCAAAAATTCTCAAAAAAATCAAATAAGATTCTAAAATATTTGAAAACAAAAATGTAAAACAAATAAGCTTGTTTAGATCATTAGAATTACCTACAAATGTTCAGGCTAATTAGAATTGGAGTCTTGGAAACACTCAGTTTATTTCAAAGCTGTGCTCATGCACTTCTCTCCATGTGCCCCTGACATGAGGTCTTCAGACAGAAATCCCCTTCTGTATGCTCATCTACAGTATTCATGCAGATGATCTGTAGATCTAATGTAGATCTAGAGTATTCACTGTAGATGAACAGTGCAAATACACTATTTTGAAAATCTGAGACAAACAAGGGTCTTGTGGAAGTGGGAATGGAGAATGTTTTAATCCTTACCATCTTCTTTAGTGCGGGTAAAAATTTGTTCACTTCTCACTCCATCCCCAGCTCGAGTGAAAGCCAACACCTGAATGCTGTAGTTGGTATATTTTTCCAGGCCATCAAGCTCTAGTGATGGCTGTGTAGTCGTGACGTTTTTTATCTCTCCCAGCTCTATGACATAAAACCAAAATTAAGTTATTGGCAAGGTCAATCTTTTTGCAGCTATCAATGCAGAAATCATAGGCATTAAAGAGTGTATCAGAGAAGTAATGCTTCATTATTATAAAATAACAATGCATGTACTAATACTTAAACATAGAGTCAAAATAACATTAAATTTCTTTGTGTTCCAAGTTCTTCAGTTCAAAGTGGACCTTGTTTTCAATTTCACACTTTTATTTTTGCAAATTTTTAAATATGGAGCATAGAATCAAAAATTTCTGTAAGAACAGAGAACAAGAAGAGAATATTGCAAAAAACTCTCTAAAGCGAAAAAAGAGACAAAGTCAGTTATTTTCATAAGCATTTTTGCTTTTTGAGAAGAATCATTTCTCATGTGGAAAAACAAACCTCAGTTTTCACAACTGCAGCAAGTACTGCTGCAAAGCACTTGATGGCAGTAATGCCAGCTAACAACAGATTTAAACATAGTAAAAAGAGAGATTTACTTGCAGAATGATGTACATCATATGAATCCTTTTGCAACAAGCTAGGAAGCACAATCCATAGAGAAAAAAAATGCTTAAAACAGATTTAGGGCAGAAAATAAAGCCAAGCAAATGAGGAAAAAATCTCATTTAAAAGCCCTCCATATCTATGCACATCATCCCACATTGTAGGACATCAGTAGAAGCTTAGAAGTGTAGTATTCACATAGATCTCATGCAAACACTGAAGGCCCATGAAAACATTTAATTTTATCTCAGTCAGGCCTACATTTTAAAATTTGTTTCTCATACACTTCATATCTTTTTTTCCTAAAAAAATACAAAGGAATCAAAATTTTTCTTTTCCCCATGTTTTTGACTCAAGCATCACATTCACCAGAAGCAGCAGTGTGCCTCACTGCACTCTGCTCTCAGACAACCTGGCCATGCTTGCAGAGGCCAGGATCTCCATCAGAATGGACTATCATGCTAGTGGATAAGTAAACAAGAAGAAGAACTCACTGCCCTAGAGTTGTGAAAGTTTAACTGGACTAATCGCAATGAGTGTACGTGCACATCAGATTTACTAGCATTTATTTTAAAGGAAGGATTGTCATTATATATATTGCAGATTAGTAAGGTATCTCAGTTCTCCTTTGATCCTTTCACTTTCCCAGGAATCTATTTTCCCACTAGGAATTATGCTAATGGTTCAAAACATAAGCATAACAGAAGAGGTTAGCATTAGAATAACAGATCTGTTTCAAAAAAGTTTCTTTCTTTTGCCATCAACTGTGGAGATAAAAAATTCATGCTATCAAAAAAAAACAAAAAAACCAAATACCTCACCAACAGCCAAATAACTAACCAATCAGATAATTAACCAAACTAAAGTAAGACCTAGGAAGCAAAATTAATGGGCAGGTAAGCCCCTTCATCACTTCAACTGAAATCCATAATCAGTTTTGTAATACCTGATACCATGATAAACATCTAAGTAAAATAGTTCCCTGACAGGCAGGTGAAACATTCTCTAAATCAATGTGGAAAGGAAGTAGGTTCATGGAGGAGTAAATGATACACATGCCACAAATTGCTTGTTATTCGGTGACAGCTTGAATACATTCTCTTACCTCCATCCAAGAGATTAGCCCAGTAGATAACCCTGAATCCCTGCAGAATCCCGTTCAGGGTTTCTTTTGCCAATGTGGACCAGGAAATAGAGATAGTTTCTGGTGATGTGGCAGTGGCTTGCACATTCCCTGGAGGGCAACTGGGCACTGAAAAAAGATATTCACCAGTCTTAAACTTGATGAATAAAACCAGATGTTTATCATGTGCACCTATGCCCTTTCATAGGAATATACAGAAAAGAACACTCCACACTTTATAGAAGACTTCCCTTTGGCTACACTTTCAACTTTCAGTGCTATTCCACCATCCTTTATTTGTGTAGCATTTATACACAGTTTACAACGGAAAGACTTTTCTCTTGCTACACTTCTCATGTTTCTGCTGGTGTAGCTGACTTCCCCAGAATGACTTCTGACAGGCTCTTTTGCCCCCTGCTGACTAGTCTTTTAATAGCCCTTTCTCCCTTCTATTGGTAAAGAAATGCACGCTAGGTCTAAAAAATGCAGAACATGTTCTGTAAGCATTTAAAATATACTTTTGTAAATTTGCACCAAATAGCCATCTTTTTAAACAATTTGAATCTCCCTCTAAAATGGAAAGGAGGAAAAAGAGGCTTTTCTTGAAAAAAAAAATTATAGGGAAAAATGTTCACAAAACCTTTGCAAAGACAATTAGAAAAATTGGAAAAAAAAAGTCTGTCAAATCTAAGGCATTTTCTCTAGGTCATTTAGTGTCAAAGGCAATAACTGCAGTGCTAATTTTTGGATACTTTGGATGTACTAATGCTTTTAAATTCATGACATCTTTCATTTTGGTAATGACTAAAAACTAAACAACGACCTTGAAAAAAAGTTGCCAAAAAGCATTTATCATGCCAGATTCTGAAGAAAAAATAATTATGCTTGTTATAATACAAGACATATCCATGTTTGAATGTACTGTCTTCCAACATCTTGCAGTGATCTGTCTAGGACGAGAAACATTTAGAATGAATGAAAAACACCAGTTTCATGAAGCATATGCCTCAAAATCTGGAGTTTCAGAAGTGTGCTACTCCATTTCCCACACACTAAAAGTCAGAATCTTAGCTGGCATGGCCTTCAATGCTTGATGCCAATTTACAACAGCTGAAAATCTGACCTACAGTATCTTTTTGGATGATATTAGAGCTTGCTTTTATACTTCTCCAAAATATAGGGCTGCTTTTTGGCTATAGAATCATTATTTCTTCCACTAGAGGACTCCCTCTCCTTGTTTGAGAGTGCTTTTCATGCAGTTCAGCATCTGGCTTGTTCAGCTGATTAGACAGGTTGAGTTTGGTGTGAAATAACAATAATTTCTCTGTCATTAGCTTGGATATCCTTGGAAAAACACACATCTCCTTTTAGACTGACAGGATAAAGAAGTGTGTAATAAAAGAGCTTGAGATTTCACAGCACATTCTGTTAAAAACAAAATAAAGGCAACAAAACTAACTGTATGACTTCAGCTTTCGAAGTTTTCCTCTTAACTTCTCAAAGTGTGCTACTAAATTATAATGAGATCATAAAATTTGCAAATTTAATCAATGTCACAGCAATAGGCTTCTTCATGAAAGCTATGGTTTCAGTCAATATCATTCATACCAGGATATATTTTACAGCATAGTTACATTTATTTACTTGCATAAAACTGTCTTGCAATTAAAATTGTACACACCCCCTGGCCAACCTCTTCCCATCCAGCTATCTACTGTATCTAACATCTGTAAAGTTTGGTCTTCAATTATCCCCTCTACAATAATTACTAATCAAGCAGTAAATGTAACAAGGTAAAAAGAAATAAAAATTAATAATGTGTCCCATGATAGCTGTTTGCCAAGGACCTACCATCCTCTAGGGTAGTGGTGATGATTTCCTGAGAAGAAGGTCCTATTCCAGCCCGGTTACAAGCCTGGACTACCATGCCATACTGGGTGAATTTTTTCAGGTTATTCAGGGTATAAACTTCACTGTCCCCAGTGGTATCAATACTGATGATGTTGAACTGGAAATTGCCCCCTGCACTGTACTCCCGATAACCTATCTGGTATCCACGAATAATTCCATTTTGCAAGTGCTTCTTTGGAGCCTAAACAGGATATGAAAGATTACACATTAAGTACATATCTCCAGAGTCAAGTAGTTCCCCTTAAAATTTTTGATATATACAAAAATTCAACACTTTTTTTCTTACTGAATGCGATTCTACTTTTAGGTAACAATTCAGAGATACTCTCTGCACGTGATGTGTTAACCTTGTACCATGATACACAAATTTAAGGGCAGGCTGTTTTAACAGTGCATTCCTGTGCTAAAAGAAAGATCTTAAATGGTTCTTACACAGAAAAATCTAATGAGGAAATATTTTTGAGATGTGATCTAGATTTATAAAGTTTTGTTCTTCTTTCAGCTGAATCAAATAAAGTTGAGTTGATAAGGGGATGTCTGCATTATAGGCCTAACATACACTGCTAATAGCGTTCTTTGCTCTGCTAATAGCAGAAACACCTACTGTTCACTCACTAGATCTTTAGCAAGGCATTTATTGATCTGTTGAAGGCAGTTGCAGAAGTTTATTCAGCAAGATGAATACGGAAAAATTTACACTATGCTTTAAAAAGTGGTTCTGCTCAGTGTCTAGTGTGGCAAGACGATTAGATGAGTGCTGAAGGCAATAATTGGAAAGCAGAGATACACTTACTGAATAGCTACTAAAATAAGGTGTACAATAGCTAGCATTCAAAAATATGGACAATACAAAATTGACGGACATAATTATGTACCATAATTCTCAGTCTCAGTACAAGATTCCCTGAGCTTTGACTTGTGGAAATCATTCAATCCTTTGTACTCTGCAATATAAAATATAGTTTAAATCAAAACAAAGATTAGTAACTCGGGGAGAGAGCCCATCATTGACAGAAATACTTGCTATGATTTCAAGTTGTACTTGACTAATTTCACTACAGGAATCTGTTGCTGTCTATTCTCCTATTTACATGAAGTACAGCTAGCATAAAATTTTTAAAACATAATTTATAATCCATGGAGAAAAAGCTCTTTCCAGTCCTCCAAAACTATTTCAAGTTCCCAACAGATGTTCTCCAGCTCTTGTGTTCCACTGAACCGTTAAAAAATCTTTGAGATAGATAGAGTTTTCTGGCTAGAAGCACCAGATACTTTAAACAGGCACAGGCAAAATTTCTGTTTTTAGCATACCTGCCAAATCTACTAAGAGGCATTTTCTCAGAAACACTCTTTTATGTCATGGGAACTGTCCATTTCAGCAAGAGTTTCCCAAAGCCTTACCAGAGCTAATAAAATTTGCCTGTCATCCACTACCAACAAATTATTGATTTGTGAAAACCAGCACCCTCTTTATATTTAAAACATGTAACTGGATGGACATGGAATGAACTAATTTTCTGTTAAGATCATTTCTTTTCCTTCCCCCTGTTGCTTTCAGAAAAGGAGGGAAAACTTGAAGCGGAAATACGTCAGGCAGGTCCTCTAGTAATAACAGTTCACCACAAGAGTAGTGCTGTCTTAGTCAGATGTAGATGTCTAAACTTGGACTTAGCAGGCAAAAAGCCTTTAGATTTAGGGCTTTAATGCCTTTTAAGGCACAGTACAGGAGTTAAAACTGTGTTGTGTCTTTTTTTCTTTTTGGGTCTTCTAAACAAAAGCAAGCAAACAAAGAAAAAAAAAACAACCTCTTTAAAAATATGAAGGTCCTATTTTACCAAAGCACTTACTTTGCATGAAGGTCCTATTTTACCAAAGCACTTTGTTATCAGTGTGTTATCTATTCTAAACAATCCTATAGTTTAATGATCTTTGTAGACTGCCGAAGCTTGTATTTATATCTGAGCTGCACTGCAGAACCTGAGTGTAGAATCTTCTTGTTTGAAAGTCAGATTTATTCATCAGAATGAAGCCATTTTTTTTCTCATCTGAGAAGAAAATATCTTCATCAAAATGAAACAGTTAAACATTTCAGTGGTGACTTTCATTCACTGAAGGATTTCAAATTCTGTTACTAGCCATGGCATTTTGCACAATTCACTCATACATTTTTCTACGTGTCATCAGCATTAATGGAAAAGAGCAAAAGAACTGAACTAACATCATCTGAACATTTCAAATTGACTAAAACACACACACTTTGGACACGCAGTGTACAATTCAAACAGCCATTATTAGAGATGGAAGCACTTTCTGACAACGTTGTAAGTTGCCATCTTGTTTCTAAATGAGCAAAAGTCTGGAGGCACCAGTTTAATCACTCCAGGATATCACTTATCTCCATCAGTGCTGAATTCCACCACAGCTCAGCAAATATTTAACAGTCTATGTGGAGATTTCTTGTCTGAACCATCAGTACGTGCTCTGTTGCTCATCTCAAAATCTAAAGCATCATCTAATTAACAGTGGCTACTGGAACACTCCAGTCACTATGGGGGATGTAGGAGCAAAAACCATTGTCACAAACGCAACTTACACACTGAAATCACAAACAACATGTATAACATATGGGTTCTACAATGAGCTACATTAGTTGTTTTGTGAATGGCTTTCACTGCCTATTAATGCACACATTAAAATACGGCACACACACACACACTGTATATTATAAGGCTGAATACCAAGAAAAGTGAGCATGCATGTTGAGCATAATAGTTTACAGAAACATACGGCACATATATTTGAACACATCTATCGTAGTGTAAAACAGATGGAACATAATTATAAAACTGATTTATACATTTACCATGTACGGAAATATTCTGAGACTACTGAAACAATGAGAAAATCCTCTTCACTAGGAATTCTGTAATTATACACTTTTTCATTGTGAAATGGAATACAATGGCAAATTTTGCATCCATAAAATATTTTTGTAATTGTTCTAGGCCAAGAGAATTTTAAAAATAAATACAAAATTTTACTTCACAATTAAGCATTGACATGTTCTGTTCCACAAATGTTTCTCCTCAGTATTATTTAAATATTTCATTTTGGATGGAGTTTTTGCACACGTAAGTCATATGTGATATATATGCTCCTTACTGTATACAGACCACCTTTCTGCAGAAAGTTCAATAAAGTAACATTTGTTCATTAAAAGATGTTCAGGGGAAAATATTGTTAACCTTCTCAGTAGTCATAAAATATTAAGAAAAAGTAACTTCATCCATGATCTCAGCTGTCTATCATCTCATAAAAACCATTTTTTGTAGAATAAGGTTCCAGTAACTTTTAAAAAGTATGACATCTTGTAATAGCATGCATGTGTATGTGCATAAAGAAAAGAAGGAAATGTGCTGTATGTTATTTAAAAAATGAATCTGATATCCAGTGTTGTAAAAATAGAATTAAACAGATCACAGACCTATAAATCTTCATTTAACTAGGATTCTCAACAAGCGGACTAAAAAGAAACTCTCCTGGAAGATTAACGATTATAGCAAGCTGCAGAAATAGAACTTAATACAAGATAAAAGATGATTGATCTGTTATCCTTGGCTTCTTTTCCTGTTAATGACAATATCTCTATTTAAACAAGATTTGTCAACTTGAGCATATCTGTATCTGTAGAACCAATCACTCTTATATGGTATCAATAAATGTTTTCTTGGCAAAAATCCCCCATGCCTCTAAAATAAAAATAATTAACTTTTTACCAGGCTTATTTACCCCCTTTTTTGCCTTCATGACAATGTATAATTTAGCACATGGGAATATTTCTTTATTCTCACATAAGGCACCAAGGGGAGCCTCCTGCACAGCTTTGCTCTTGTCACCATACTGTCTCATAAGAAACTACAGTAAATCCAGGATTCATGGTCCAGGACCATCCTTCAGTATCTCAGTGGAACCCACTTAAACTACCCTGCTGAATAATGGACTAAAACTGCTTTGCCCTGGGAGAGCCCAAACAATTTGAGAAAAGTGAATGGCTCACTCCTAGTCTTGGACTTCTCAGCTAGGGAACAGCTATTACAAATTGTCATTCAGAAAATATTTTTTCCAATAAATGTAGGGGCACATGAGTGTTAAGCCTTCAGGAAGATAGTTCAATGACTTTGCTTTTGGCTACAAAGGAAATTCTAGACCAAGGAAAGTAATTTTGCTTCAGTTACATCCATCACCTCGGGAAAACGTAGCACCTGTCAGATGAGCTACTCTACCAGCAATGATAGAGCAATGATTGCAAATTTAGGCAAACTGCTTTCCAGCTGAGCATCTAGGGGCTTCAGAGAATGGAGATCACAATGAGTAGAATTTCAGTGGAGTGCAAAGTCTGTCTTTTACAGTCTGTCCTTTCACTCACTTCTGAGTTTCTTCTGCTTACAAAATAACTCCTCAAGGGGTCCTGTGGTATATGGCCATAGATTATTGCTGGCTAGATCACATGCCTTCCTAGCCCTTTGCTGGAGGACACACTACCGAGAGAAGCTCACTGCCACAGTGCTTCTCATGCTACGTGACCACAGTTCAGGCACAGCCGGTCAATCAACTACGTTAAGATCTTCCATCTTCCTCTGGCAGAGGAAGAGACATTGTGGCATTGCATCATGTACACATGACCCAAGCTGTGAAAGAGCAAGAGCACAAGCTAATTAGGTGTAAGGGTGGATTTAACCAAAAACCGGTCTAGGGGAAGCAGATTTTGAAGGTTCCCAGGACACTGGGTGTTCATTGAAGACTTGGTGCACAAGTTGGCCCGTTTTCCACAGCAAACCCCAAATGTCTAGACAGCATCTGCACAGTACCTGGCGCTAGACTGGTTTGGGACTGCTCAGTTCTTGCAGCTGGAACCCATCTTTTCTGGCATAGGATCACATATGGGCACAAAGAGGGATTTCCAAAGCAGCTCGTACTTTAAGCTGGCTCCAGCTTTGTGGCTCCACCTTTATACTGAGCAAATGAGACTTGCCAGGGCAATGGAGTATATGTTTAATATGTAGCTCCTTTCTGTGATTATTTTGTTATATGAGGCACTGGCCCTTATTTGGCAAGTGTTCATAAATCAAGTACATTCCAAACATGATCCTGAGAATTGTTTATACAAAAATACAACTCCAGTTGCTGCTTTTATACACTTTTATTTCCCAGACAATACTGAGAGACCAGGACACTAGGCTGGACCTTAGGTGACCTCGAAGTATGAATTTGCACCAGTTATATTTTAGGCAACCTTTCTGAAATGTAGATATGGAAATTTCATATTTCTGGTAGCTATTCACACACATTTTCATTTATAAAATTTAATAGCTAATTTCCAGGATCACAAATAGCACTATAAACTCCCACAGTAAAACAATGATCTTCTCTTCTTGCTTTTGAAAATCTTCCCCAAAGTGAAGTTTAAAAAAACAAATTTAAAACATGCACAGAAGAAAAAGAGAATCTATATACTCTAGGATGACATTAAGAACTTGGAAATTGTAGCTGCCTAGATTTGATGGTAATGACAATTTCTGAATCCTTTAAAAGCAACAACCAATCAAGCATCTCCTTTGCTTGTTGAGAATCACTCTACGCTCTACACTGGACACTTTAAGTGGCCTATGCCTATGTGTTGTCTTTTAATCAGTGCTTCATGTATCTTGTTTATAACCACCTTCTTGTGCTTATATACCTTATCTACCAGGTAAGCCTGAAGCAAGTTTAAAAAAAACTTTTGTTTTTTTGGAAACCTTTTAATGGAAAGCAGTGTTGATATAAGCTTAAGATGTAAAACAGGTAGCACTGAGCTTACGACTTTTACAAAATCTGATAGAGATTATTACTTCTGGAGCTTAATTCTTAACTATTTCATGAAGACAAGATTTTTAATATACTGTTTTAAAACACCATGAAACTACTCAAGGACTAAGTAGTGCACTGAGGTCCCTCAACAAGCTAATTGGACATCTCAGTAGTTGTATGTCCAACTGCACCGTACAGAGATTATGCTCCATAGAAACTTGTTCTTTCCAAAAGACCTGACTCAAGACTGTCACAAGCTTCTAATGCTGTCATAAATATTCAGCAGCCCAGAGTTACTAACCTTTCTTTCCAGAGGGTCCATATTATGGGACACAATGCACATGAGCAGCATTTGCTGGAGGTAAGTAGTATGATTATTATGCCAGAGTCCTGCTCCAGCACATACCACTACATATATCAGAGTTTAGAGAAATATCAGTATAATTTGGAAACTGACATTCATACTGAGACTACACTACTGTAATTAGAAAGCCTTATTCTGTCTGCTGTGATGTACAAGCGGTATATAGCACAAATTTGTTTAAAGCATGGTTTAAATAGCCTCTGATATCATACTAAAAGCATTTAAAACATTCTGAGGTTATCAGAACACTGAGAAAAATCTAGATAAAATGAACCACATCATAAGACTTCCCAGATTTTTTTAATGAGTTGCCAGTATTTATAAATCTCTGAACAAACAAAAATACTCTAAAGGTCCATATGCTTGGATATACGTATTTACCTTCCAGGTGACCCTAATGCTTTGTGAGGATATAGGTTCAAGTTGAACATCCTGAGGTGGGCCATCAGGAGCTGGAAAGACAGAAGAAATGGGCATGAAAACAGGCCACCACTGCACACAGAATTCAGCATTTCATATGGTTTTTCAACATCTTAACATACCCGCATAACATAAAGGTTTGTGTTGATTTAATGTCATATGAAAAACTGAAGATATCACTTTGATCAAAAACAAAACAACAAAACAAACAAACAACAACAAACAAGAAACAGATCCTAGAACCTTCCTTACTCAATGATCATCTTTGGCCAAGAGGTCAAAATTCAACAACCTGGCAAATAAAACAAATGATCTATGGCAACTTTTTTGGATATGCTCTGATACTCTCACAACACTGTTTCTCTTTTGTAAACAAGCAAGATGTATTTTAAGCAGTCAGAAACCAGCAGGTAGCAGCAAGAAAGGCAGCAGAACCCTTTCAAAAGTAGGTAGCCCTTTTGTTCATTGAAGACTAAACAGATTCAGTCAAATATTAATCATCCTTTATGTAAAAAGTCCTCACACTTTAAAGTCACACTCCACTGCCCATCTTGTATATATCCCAACCTGGATATAAGAGAAAAAACACCCAGAAAGAGCATCCTGGTAGAGGAACAGGAGGAGTTTCATTTACTACTTATATACTGTTAAGGATGTGTAGGGCACTTTAAAGGGAATTTTTTTTTTAAAAAAAGTTCACTTTTCAGCTGGACAGCTAACTACAAAGCAGATTGAGAATAGGTTAGAACTGAATAGAGAGCTGTAAAGCAAATCATTTTCTAAGTGAGGCAAATCATTATAAAGGAAGGATCTGAACAAAGAAATGGAGTAATCTTCAGCTGTTGTAGGGAGTTCCCTAGATGCAGAATATGGCTTCAGTAAAAGGTACGAAATTAAATTTAATAACATAACAAAGGAAGCAAAGCAATAAAAAAGGTGAGATGGGGCTGCTAGAGGTGGAGCAGCAATAAAGGACAGCTTCAGTGAAAGCAACCAGATCATTTTGCTTGCATTGATGAAAGTAGTGGGACCCAGAATGCAGCCTATAAAATGTTTGTTATTAAATATGCCCTCTTCTGTGCCATTTTTGATTGTCATTCATAGAGGAAAATTTCAAAGGTTGAAAGAACTTTATTTTCATTTCCCTTGCAGTAATATACAGGAAGTAGAAAAGAGTGAGACCAGCAGCAAAAATGGTCTTACTCCCGTCCTTGACTATGTCCTCTCATTTACCAACATGAATGTCATTCCTCCAGGTATATTATTATGTAATATGAGCAAAGCACTTTATCCTTAAAATGAGCTTTAAAACCTCATCTTTTCATGAAAATATGCAAAAATCTTTTATATACTTGTGTGCTTAACAATTCCTAGCTTACTACTGTGCAATGTTAATGCTGTTATTCCTGTTGTATTAGCAAAGAAACTGATGGATAAATGGGATAAATAAATGATTTATTTTACACGCTTAACGTCATACACAGTTTGTGACAAAGACATAAAGAAAACCTGGATATTCCAGCTTCCTCTATTGATTACAGCATTAAACAACAGCTCTAATGCTTTTGTTTTCCTGACAAGCATTGATGACTGGATACTTATAGTCTGTTTTCCAGCACAGGAAGTAATTGGGGTTGTATGGAAACAGATGGAATCCGCAAGAGCTCTGAAAGCAGTCCCAGCTGTGTGAAAATACAAAACTACATGCTTGACTCTCCTTTTGCCATAGGGACCATTTATAGTCTCCTTTCCTAGTGCTGACCACAACTGGGTCAAATAACTTGTGATGTGTAATCTGAATCACAGCATCACAGAATCACAGAATGGTTGAGGTTGGAGGGGACCTCTAGAGGTCATCTGTCCAACACCCCTGCTCCAGCAGGGACACCTAGAACACATGGCACAGGGTCACATCCAGACCGGTTTTGAAGATCTCCAAAGAAGGAAAATCCACAACATCTCTGGACAGCCTTTCTTAGTGCTCTGTCACCCAAGGGGCTGTCTGGGTCCTTCCCATTTGCTTGCTCAGTTTTTACATTTTCTTGTCCTCTCCTCATTATCCTCTCTCTCATTCTCTGCACCCAACGCTGATTTATATTTGCTTTTGTAAAAGCAACAAAAAACAAAACAAAACAAAAAAAAACCAAAACAAACAAAAAAATGGAAGTCTTGTATGACCACCACCTGAAGGCAAAACCCAGGGAACAAATGTCATATACTTTGGCTAAACCTGACCTTCCCTCTTCCAATTAATTTTTCCCTAAAAAAATCAGTGCCTTTTGAAGGCAGTTCCACATTGCTGACCTTCCTCTCTTAATAGACACCTAATGGACAGCTCCTTAAAAGACAACAAAGAAAGGATCAATTATTCTGAAACTAGGTTACAAAGAACTGAATAAAATGTGACATTACGGTTCCACCCTGTTAATAGGGATGCTGGTTTTTATTTCAAGGTCAACTCTGATCCTGACAATTTAATTATCAGTCAGAATAAAGTCAGCAAGCAAGGAATATTCCAAGTATGGGTGAATAAGAGAGGCTGCATGTGTAGATCCAAGACCTACCCTGCTACTTAGTTGATTATGGACAAGGAACAATGGGCATGTTGGGGATATAGATGATTCAGTCTGGGAGAATGGATAATCTATCTACCCAATGATTTCATATTTTCATTGAACAAATGAGGAGGAAAACCTTGATCAAATCATAAATATTGTGTAAACAAACTATTCGCCCTTTATAAAGCTGTTTACTGAAGGCTCATAAAAATGTGAATTCTCTTCACTCACTCCCTCTCCCTGGGGTGAAAAAAACACACCTGATGATGAAAAGAAATGCAGTCTTTGCTCTGCTTTGAACTGTAAGCTCGTGTGCCCTATTCTTATTCAGAATGTCCCTTGAAAGAAAAAACATGTTCTCCTGACAGGTGGCAAATGTTCACTATAGTGATTTCCCCCACAGTGAAAATGAGTGGGAATTACATAGTTGTATACACACAAACTGGACTAAAAATTTAAGTGTTTAAAGTCTAGACCAACATGGATCTTCAAAAAAAGAGAAGGGTTTTCACTGTCAGGACACTGTCAATTATACTTGAATTATACTTGATATATATACATACTTGATATACTTGATACTTGAACTACGCTTTTCCTCTCAAACTCAACTACGCTTTTCCTCCCACTTTATTGCCAAGTATTAATCACTTCTTCACATAGGAAAGCAGGAAAAAATAAATCATCAAGGTAAAAATGCGATTTCGAATTCAAATGAATAAGTTCCTATCTGATCATGAATTTTCAAAGAAACTCCACCCACCTTCTGTGGCCTAATAGCATCAAATCTAACTTGGTTACTTGGAAACGTACAGCCAGGCTGGCTATCTAATTACAAAATATACTGGGAAAGCTACTCAGCATTTTTCTTCTTAGTTGCTAAAACAGAGAGACTTGCAACCCTCCTCTCTTCACCTATAAGTCTTGCTTGGTGTCCCCATGAAGCATCCTGGACATGGTAGCATGCAGGAGGCTATGCAGCCCTTATCCCCACTGCCACATCTGCTAGTCCTGAGAAATAAAGATAAGAAGGCACTGAAGACAGCAATTAGAATGTACAAAAGAGTGTCTCCAGTCATTAATGTGAAAATGCTGGCACAGCCCTCCTGCTACAGAAGCCTGTAATGATGATGTAGAAGATGACATAGAAACAAAAAAACCCAACCAAAAAAATAAATAAATAAATAAAAATGGGGATGACACTATTTAACAGCCAACTGACTTGCAGCGTAATCAGAAAACTAAATGCTGCATGGTTTGGGGGGTGCATTAGGCAAAAGAAGATTTGATTAATGTAAATTGATGTTCTCAAATTGGGGCAGATTTAGTTAGTTATAATAATACTTGGGCATCTAATGAAAGCCGCAGGACCCACAGGGGCCGATCCACCACTAGAAATAATATGCTGTTGATTGAAATGTCTAAGTGTAGGTATGTGTGTGCAGTTTACAGTAGTTCAGGCGGAAAATCTAGGGCATAATGTCTTCTTTGACCACTAGATGCCACTGAACAGCTATAATCACAGGCCCGCATGATGAAGTTGCAAAAGCCACAATGTTTTCTCAGAATACTTCAGCATTTCCTTTGATGCAACATAACTGTAGCAACATAAGCAGTATTTCAAGTAGAGATTCTGTGTCTCAAAGCATGCTAATACCCTGTAAGACCCTGTGAAACCCGAACATACCTGCTTCGTCAGTAGTGATGGTGAGCTCATTGCTGGCCTCGCTCTTGCCAATGCGATTCTTGGCATACATGCGAATGTTGTAAGTTGAGGAAGGGTGAAGGTCAATGATAGTGGCTTGGTTTAGCTGAGGGGAAACATCTTTGGTTCTCTGAACAGAATCCCAAGAGTCTATTTAATAAGATTAAAATAAAACAGATAAATAAAAAATGACATTAGTGTTGCTAATGCAAACATTTTATCAAACTCTCCCATAGGAAAGGATACTGCCTCCATAGACTTAGCCCAAATAATCCTTGCTACTACACTCAAATTGACTAATCACTTTTCTTAATAGCGCTCCTGACTGCTCAAAATGTGCTACTGTTAAGCATGGGATCTCAGCCCAGCGATCATACGTGACTCTGGGAGAATAGCTGCTCCTCTGCCTTTTTGCAGAGGAGTGCTGAGCATGGGAATGATTCCCCAGCTTTATGCATGACAGCAAATTTGATCCCAGACCCCAGAAGCTCATGTGCAGGGCACTGTGGAAGCGTGAACAGAGCCCCTGGCGAGCATGAGCTAGGAAAATTTGGCTGGCTTGGACCTGAGACTCAGCACCTGCCAGGACTGATGCTGTTTCCCTGACTTGTGTTAGGACACTGGAAGGTTTAATATGAGACAACAAAAGGATCCTTTTAGCTGTGTGTATCTATCTGTAAATGGAGGAGCACATTGTTATTTTTCGGTTATCATTCATCTGCCCATTACATTTTAAAAAATCTTCTAGATATATACCAGGAAACACGATGGAAACTGTCTATATACAAATGTCTCATAACCCCATACATAACCCCTCCTTTTCATAGCAACAGTCCATCACTGCAAGAAAATAACAGAATCTATTTGTTTAAGGCATCTTGATATCTCTTATAAGTAAGTCGCTATCCACCATCTCTTCCTTGATGAATCCTATGTTCCTCCTTTCACCTCTGCAGCATCTTATGGGGGATGTCGCTGGAGGCTCTACAGTAGTGCTCTATAGGATCATGCAAAGCTCAAATGAAAAAAATACTACTTTAAAAATGATTCATTTTGCAGATACTGTTTAAACCTTTGAATAAATAGCTTGTTAAAATACATTCAAGTTGTCACAATGATATCTGCAGCTTGACTGGTAAGACTGGTAAAAGGGCCTTTTTTTTTTTTTTTCCTATGTATGGGTCAATTTTCCCAGAAAACCTCTAAGAATCAAATATACTTGAATTTATTTTCTCTTTGAAAATGATTTTGCCACAACTCCCTTTGCGGGAGTTCTGTCAGACATTCTAAAAGAGTTATCTGCATGCATTCCTGATTGATAGAATTTGCCTTTTTAAATTTACCAGATTTCTAAGATGGTCATGTATGGCCAAATTCCAATATTGGAATGAACACTGGTTGATACTCTCTTTTAAAACATGAAACAAAGTGCCATGATAAACAATTTATTCATTTGGTCTCACCCGAGACTTCTCAAAGCTAAAAGCTTTGCAGCTTTTGCAACAAGATTTCAGACCATATCTGATCTAAGAATTACCCAGAAATTAGATGATCTTTCCTGATATTGCTGGTGTTTTTTACATCTCTGCAGATCCTAGGACCCTACAGGGAGATGATAAAGCTAGTCTGGGATGTAGTGGTGAGGAGAAGCAATCCTCAGCAGTCGAGAGACCTAGATTTAGCTGATGTGTGACAAAGCAAGTAGGGGCTAGGAAAGGACTTAGGGAACACTGAATTGTCAAACTTTATAAAAATACAAAAGAACGCAGAGTCTAATCCAATGTACCAGGACAAGCATAAAGGACTCTAAAGAAAGATGCATTTCCTGTGAAGAATGAGTTAAATTTCTCTTATGTGGATGATAATTTTCTTTAATATAGCCCATATATTAGCAAATTGCTTTTACTTGCTTGTTCAAAACACCAACTTCACTGATGGAAGTCTTTATTACATGTTAATTGTAGAAATCAAATAAAGAAATCTGAAAATCTTTGTGATTCTTAGTAGATTAAATAATGATATATCATGGAGGAGAGAGAATAAAACTCACAATCTTCCATTATAAATGTAGGTTTCAAATGTAGAGTTATGACTAATATGTAGACTTTCAGATTATATTTTGATACATGTTTTTGAAGAAGAAAACAAGACAACAAAAGCAATCCTTCCAAAACCGAGCCGCTCCAGAGAGAAACTGATCAGTTTCCATCTGACACTGTTTTCACTGGAGATAAGAAAAATAAAGTTAATTTATGCTTTTCTGGAAAATCCTAAAAATAAATGCTCTCTTGAAAAAATTGACTATTTGTTCTTCCATTTTTTATTGTCATTTTGAAGTTTTTTTAAAAAACCCATTTGCTTAGCAGGATTGAAAAATAAAAACTGAAAACAAGTAACAACAGTCTAACGAAAATGTAAAAAAAAATCTTGGAATTTTTATTGCATTCTTTATTCGACTTGCAAACTATTACATCCAGGCACTTCTTGGTGTTATACAAAATGTGCACTGACAACGTAACCTATGGAAAACTGGCTTTTTCAGAAATATTCCAGCAGTTCCTAAAACACAGTCTAAATGTTTGGGTTAACTACTGCACACCGTTGGGCCTTCTGGTTGCTCACACCTCACCTGAGGATGTGTGAGCCTAGGGCCCAGGTCCATGAGGTAACTGGTCTTCCTTGGTGTGTGGTGCCATCTCGTGGCACAACCTAATGGTAGACCCCAGTGGTACGTGCCCTGACCAGGAACATGTTTGTAATTAAATAGCAGTGAATAAAAGAGGCTGGAACTGTTACACACTGTTACACTGGACCAGAACAGAGTAATTACTACTCTTTAAATTAGATTGTGAGATTCAATTAAGAACAAAACTCAGAAAAGATTAATACATGCATTCATACTGTAAATAACATGCATGAGCATAAACTACAGGTGGAAATAGTATTCTTAAGTGCTTCTGTGAGTTACCCTTAAAAACAGGAATAGAAGAGGAGGCAAAAGAACCATTTCCCCAATGTCTGAGTCACTAAATCTCTCCTGTTCAATCATCAGGATCATCAGCATTATATGGATCTACCATGATCAGTTGGCATATCTGCCAGTAACATGAAATAATCCTTTAAAAATATCTGATTCTCATGGAATATAACTGTTCATATTACAGTTTTATTTTGGCCTTGGCAGGGCACTGTCTGACCTGACCATCTGGATTGCAAATGTTTTGCCTAAGTTACCTTTTGTCTCTTTGAATATCTGAAAACTTCTTCATGACACAACTGTGACCAAAAAAAAAAGTGCAAGAATTAAAATAATCCTAGTTTCCTGGTTTCTCCCAACATTCAACCTCAATTTCTGAAAAACAATGTTTCTGTTGTTTGCAGTGAGACAACAATCTGTTCTTTACAGAATGTGATCTCCAGTATGTGTCTGCATGTACAGATACAGAAGTATTTTTTGTACTCCAAAACTGCTATCCACTCTTCTTTCTTTCCTTTTTTTGAATATTTTTCATTATGTTGTGTCCTTATGTTTTCATTCAGTCTGATGGTGTCTCATAAGATGTCTTGCTATTGATTTATCGTGCACATTATGGAGATATAATTTTGCAATACAAGTTTACAGTGATTACCTTAATCTTTGCTTACATTCAGAATTATCACTTGAGAATACTGAACTAAATCTAGAAAAGACGTTTTAGAGCTCTGAAGTCCTCTTCCAATCTTACAGCAAAATAAAGCAGCTAAATCTTCCTTGCCAGAGGTTATGATAAGTTATATGCTTCTTTGAGAAGCCTTAGTGCTGTTTTAGGGTCAGAAAGTAGCCTATCAGGCAAGAATAACTCCCAAAATAGATTCTGCAGCCAGTGGGTGGTTGTCAAGAGAGGAAAAGACTGAAAGAGAAAACAAAGAGGTGTCCTTGCCTAGTTTGTATCTCCAAAGCTGTGATTTCTGACCAGAGGCTCCGTGTAGAATTTTACCTTTAATCTTTCAGGAATTGTGTTCGGTTGTACATTACCAATGCCATTTAAAAAGTCAATGCAAAAAAGTGATGAATGAGCTGGAAATTTTAAGTATATTCTATCTAGTAGTAAAAGCAAAAAAGTAAAAACTATTTTTGCATAACAATTAAAGTGCAAAGGAAATACACCATGTAAATATATGAAGAATAGGAAAGATGTGTAGTGTATATACATATATATGTATATATATATATTTGATAAATTTTAGAATTTTATGAACAAGAATATTTTTACCTCTCAGAATTAAAGGGAGAAGACAATAAAAATATTCTAACAACTAGTTTCATCAAATGAATGCTTTCACTGATTATCTCCCATACAACACATCTATTAGTGGGCTATGTCCTTTTACAAATAGTGCAATGAACTCCAGCATAAAATATAATATGATTTCTTAGTGCCTTATTTTAACCATGTTTAAAATATGAAATTTTCTAATCCTGTTACAATTCATGGTTCAAGGACAGTGCTTATTTGTGCACTTCGTTTTTGGTATGTTCTTATGTCACCAAAACAGTTCAACTGTGCAACCAAAATGTTCTTAGATTTCAATAGACAGTGAAAATTTCTGAGCTTAAGAAAGAACTATTTTTAAAATACCCTTTAGAATACCAAGAACATAAAATTGCCTAATTCAGGAAAATATTCTTGCACTCTGGCTTTGCTTATTACATGCTCATGATGACCTAGCAGGTAATGATTAGGTGAGGATGACCTAGCAGAAAAATATCTGCTTTCATTGACCTGTCAATATGTGCCAATGGTCTTTTCCCTTGGAGCCTTTCCAATAGATTACTGAAAATTTATTGTGCTTCAGCAAATTATTGCACAACTTGCTTTATCTAGAATTTCTTGTGACTACTGCTTTTGCTCCTAACTTTCTGGGGAAAATGCCCCAGAATAATATCAATAGAAAAGAAATTCTAAAATAAGCAGTACAGGAAAAAAAAATGTAAAGGCAGCTAATCTTCTATAGAGAAAAATGGAAAAGAGAATTAAAAAAAAGAAAATGGAGAAAAAGGTAAAAATAAAACTGAGAATTAGATGGCAAAATCATCAAAACAACTATCATATGGAATGGCTGACTTTTACAACCAAATCTGTGTTTTTTACTTGCAGGCATCTCAGGTAAAAGACAAGAGCAGCAACTGCTAAACATAATATCATTACCTCAAAAATACACCAACAAATGAAGACAAATCTGACTGTGAAATACTAAACAATTTGTGGTAATGAATTTCATCAGTAAGTCTCTTTTACAATAGAAATTCCATGATGAATTTCTAAAAGAGTGTTATAAGACAGAGATTACTTGGAAGGAAGATTATTTCTTACCCGACTTGTTCTTGCATTCAATATCGTAGCCTGTGATTGGGCTATTTCCATCAAATCCCATGGTCCATCTGAGGGCAATACTGCGTGCTCTCACCTCTCGGATTTCTATTTCAGGAGGGTCGGGAGGTTCTGGATAAACACACACACTCAGTTTTAGTCAAAAGGAAGTCCATACTGTTCACAAGATTCATTAATGAGCACGGCACTGACACGGCTTACTGGTGGTAAGCTCTCACGCCATTTTCTCCAGGCACTCATTAAAATCCAAAGTCATTTAGTCACCCACTGAAGAATACTCAATAGAGGAAGGAAAATGCACTTTTAAACTTAGAGTCACTCAGGCAATCTTGAATGACTAACTCCTTAACATACAGTTGCATTTCCTTAAAAGCACTGCAGATCGGTGTATTCATGTTAGGGGAGTTTTTTGCCACAAATGCAACATTGCACTGAAAGGCAGTGATGATAGTAATATAAAGACTAAGCTTACAAGAGCTAAATTTGGTGGGAGGAGGGAGTAAGAATTCTGTTTCTTTGTGTATGTATATAAAATAAGAGTTAGAGAGTTTAAGGCCTCTTCTGCCCACAGAAAATTAAGTATGCAAATAAATAGCATTTAAATTTATTTATTAATGCTATTTATTTAAATAAATAGCATTCAAAATGTTGGTGAAGTTTAAATGAGCACTGGCGTAATTGAGAACCTGAGATTCGTCGCCAAACTCCACCCAAATTTCTTGACAGGGCTGCTTTAGGCACTCACTGAAATCTGCAGTTTTGTGAAATCAAGGCGGGGGGAAAGAATTTTGCAAGTCCTTGAAATTTGTTATGTGCACGCTCACAGGCATACAAGCACTGGAACAAGCATCACACAGAAAGCGGCAGTGGCCAGTGGCTGAGTCCTGCCTCTGCTCTGCACCTCAAATACTGTCATCTCAACAACTCCTGAATTTGAAGATGTCTGCCTGAATGAAACCCTGTGGGAGGGGAACTCCAGGCCTGGGGATATCGAATTCCTAGAGTTTGGATTGAACAAGCACATTACAATTTATTTTGACTGATTAAACTTGATATATTTTGTTTATAGATACAAAGTAGGTTTAAAATTGCTCTAGAGAAAAAAAGAACAGATTGCTTTTGCTTTATTTCAGACTTTGGTTTTAAGCATATTCATTTTTTAAAAACAAATCTCTTCCCTTCTTCACTGAAAAAACTAACTCCTGCCTCATATCCACTATTCCTACCAGATATTACTGTTAAGTCTGGTTAGTAGACTGTCAGCTAGCGTATTTAAGAAAAACTCTCCTTATTCACTTGTACAATACTGGAAACACTCTGGAGATTATCCATCATTTTGATTTGATTTTGATTGTGAAAATGAGCGATTGAGCATCTTAATGCAGCCTCTCCTTTCTGTGACAGCTAGGAATATGTTTAATTAGGACCTAGAACCTCCCTCCCCCAACAGATTTCTGAGCATGGCATACACTTACTGTACTACAATAGCTGTGTTTTTTTCCTTATGTTGTCCTCTTCCTACCTTGCACAGTGAGCTGAATTATTCCACGATCCTCCCCGTAGGAATTGATGGCGTGGCAGGAAAAGAAGCCAGAGTCTTCACGCACAGTTGGCAAAATCTATAGGTGGTTTGAAAACAAGTGATTGAATGAACAGCATGCTGAGAACATAAACAAACAGCTTTTTTGTATGGAACAAGAAAAAATACACTAAACTGTTTTACTTGACAGTAATGAATAGACATTGCATGTTATACAGATAACTACACATAGTCTATATCGTGAAACATCCAAGATACAGAGATTTTTCAGGACTGGAAACACCTGGGCTGAGGAAGCAAGTTACATGTGTAGTCAGGAGTGGGAGGACCACCTATTCCTGCAGTTTCTCATTAGGAGCCTTCTTTCCAGTTATCTGTAATTTTGCCAGGTATTTAACAGTTGGCTGAAATTTTCCATACAAAATGGTGCCCTGCTGCTTGCTTTCTTTTTTTTTTTTTTTTTTTTTTCCGAGTTACTTCTGAAAATAACTCAAATGGCAAAAAGGCTGTGTGGAGGAAATAAAGTTTCAAATACTGGCGATGAACCCCATAGTATTCAGCATGATGCCTCAGAATAAATTTTTGTGCTTTTTCTTTTCAATTTGCTATTTAATAACACAGAAAATTAGATGCAATCTTTAGGTAAACATGGTCATAATGATGTTTTTCTACAGGACCACTGCTTCATTCAGTGTAAAAGAGGGAAAAGGATTTTTAAAACAGCAGATATTCAAAATGCAGTTCTCCTCTCGTTGTTGTGTGTGCTGCTCCACACTTTATTTACTGCACACAGTGCAAACTGTGCCCTGAAGACACTTATTCATTTCCTCATAGCCTTTCCTGTGTCATTCACCTATGCACTACCCACTTCAGAAATATTACTGAATTTATTTTCATAAACCCTGGCATTATGAGGAATATTACCAACATTTTACGTGGAGAATTAAGGAACCAGACATATGATAATATTAGAGGCTGTTTGACAAGTTGCCACATGTTAGCTGAGCCACGGCAATTCTGCATGCTCTTTATTCCTCAGAAAATGTAAGGTAATATCAGTATAACTCTGATTCAGCACTGGCTAAGATAAATGGATATATGTCCCACTGGCCACAAGCTACAAGCATACTGGAGAGGCGACATCTGAGATGTGGTAACCTGTCAGGCTGTGGTAAGTTACATATGGTAGTGAGCTTTAAGATGGAAAGAATAGGACAAAAATATTAAAAGCCCAATTTGATATATCTAAGGCCTTCTTTCCCCCTTTCAGCATCCTTAGCAATAAATAGCATTTCATGTTTCATAACATGGCTTCCATTGAGTTAAGCTGCAGCTATGAGGGCTTAGTACTTCTGCAAATCAGACCCCAAGGGCTCAAGGCAAGTACCTAGAAAACAAAGAACACACAATTATTGGCCACCTGTGAAAAGTTTGGTTTCAATGACCAGCCTTGCATCACACAGTGTCTTTCATTACTCAACCCTAATTCAACTCCGGAGAAATTCCGAGTCATGCCTGACTGAGGCAGGGGTCCTGTAGAAAAAATAAAAGCTGAATATTTAACTAAAGATTACATTATCATGCACACATGCAAAACACTTGAATTCAAAGCTTGAGAGATAGCCATAATCCTGGCATTTTCCAAAGTTTTGAGTCCTTTTTTTTCTAAATTTTTGAGCACTTTATCTCTCAAAAGTCCAAATTTTTAAATGAAACATACATATGGATGTAGAATGCCACTACTGTATCCAACAGCTTCAGAACATAATTCTCTGAGCAGACCTCCTGCCTTCCAAACAGAAATACTGTTGTGCATCCAGACACCACCAGATCTTAAAGGCAGTAAGACAACCGAGGGCAAAGACATCTAGCAGTCCATCCTACAACTAAATATTATTCATAACACAAATATGCTAGTATGCACAAATTCACATGTAAAGCCTATCCTTCCTCTGAGAGGTCAATGACAAAGCTCTCTCATAGGAAGTAAAACCAATTTTTTTTTGCTGGATATCATCCAATACAGTTTTTAGCTGGTGAAGAAAAACATATATGTTTAGATTTGCATTAGAATATAGACATAATTTTCACAGAGACAGAAAATTATTTTCTTGAATCTGATAAAAATGTATTTTTAGAGTGTGAATGAAAAATGGAAATCAAGATTTCAAAATAAGAATCTGCATGATTTTTTTTTTATTTTCATTTCTTTTAGATTTACTGAAGGTACATGCAAAAAATCTAAAGGGAACAGGCTCGTAATTTGTCCTTACTGATCAATTTTAGATTTGCTGGAAAAAAAGTGGAAAACCCTGCATATAGTGAGGGCAACATCATAGCGCTGCCCATTTTCGGTGAAACCAGAACAGCATGAGCTTTCTGGGTTTTCTTGGTGTGTGGGGGATATTGAAATGCCTGAAACAGCAATGCCACTTACACTACACTTCAGTCTAACCCAGGTCAGTCACTTGGGAGTTAACTGTACCACACATACTGATTTGCCAGGGAAATCAAGATACCTGTCTGTCCTACCACCAGAGCACTGCTTGTCACAGAAGCAAAAGTTAATAAAGATGTAGTCTGTAACTACCTGCCAGCTGGCGAGGTGACTTCTGATACAATATACAGTGTTTCACATGCTCCTTGCTGCTGTAGATGTGCTATTTATGCATTTACATGTGCCCTTTCCTTATACCTCATGTTGCATCTGGTGACTAATCTGACTTTGTAAAGTGTTCTGCGTATGGCTCACAAGCACCAGCAAAAGGAAGGGAGGAAAAGTACTTTAAGATGCAGCACTTTTCCTTCAGAATTGCCTCACTCACAGCACACCTGTGGACTGGATATCCTGGATCCTCATCAGCAACATATTCAAAACTGAGCTGAGCTGCTCCGCAGCAATGAGAGGAAGGCTCCCTTGCTGCCTCTGTGGCACCAGAAGACATAGAAGATGAATGGTTTTTGGATCTGGGAGACACAAGGTTTCCTCTACCTCTTCTTCGTGGCAAGTGTTGGGGCTGTGGCCTTCTGCCACTTCACGAGCCCACTTTGGTAGGGAAATACTGCTTTGCAAAAGCCTTAACCTGGCCCAGAGTGCCCTCTGCGATGCTGGGATCAGGAAACATCGGTGGAGGTGGTGGGACACCCTTCCTGAAACCACAGTATGCCACACACACACATCTAGAGGAATTGTGGGTCCCTCCATCTTCTTACCTGTAGAGTAGAGATCACTTCGTCTCCCACTTCCTTGGTGGAAACAAGATAACGGGACATTTCGGGGTTAATGATGCGGTCCTCTTTTTCCCAGCGGACTATGATGGGCTTCTCGCCATGGGCTGTGCAGCTCATCTCCTTCTTTTGTCCCTGGGTTGCCAAGGTGGTGTTGGGATAGGAAGTTATCATAGCCGGAACTAGAAACAGACAAAACAAGAAAGATCATTTTTCAGTGAGATGACTACTCTGACTAGCCTTCACATTTGGAACTAATTTAGTCTGCCTGTATTTGACCAGATAGATAAAAATGTGGGAAATAAATTGGCATTTTTATCTCAGAGACTCTAGGTTCCTCAAGGGGAACTTAGCAACAAGAACCCAGGACCAAGCAACATGGTTATAGACGCAGAAGGCAGCATGGTTATGGAGGCACAGGAAGACTGGCTCCATTTGCTTTGCTACACACAGCACAACTTTTAACATAAATAAAATATGCACAGACACATAAAAGTACTGTAAGCAATAAACATTCAGCTATAGGACCAGTAAGGAAGTGCTAGTCATTTTTTATTCTTTTTGATAAGCTAGTCATCAGATCATATATTCATCAGACTCATGCACAAAGCTAACAGAAAGTGCTTTTACTTGTTTTATTTGCTGACAGGTGTATCCTCTTACCATTATATGTACTGTGTGTGATAGTAATGGCCTATCAAAATGAAGACCCCATTCAACCAGAAGCTCTACAAAACTAAAAGTAAGCCTCTATCAAAAAGCTTAGAGTCCATGCATATGCTGAGCACACAATTAAATTGTACTGAGCTGAACATATAATTAAATTGACGATAAACATAGTTTGATTTGTGTTTAAGATATTCAGTAAATAGGTGCAGAACACTTTGTATGTAATTGTCAGCTTCTTTATGAATTATTCAGGATTAAAAAGATCTAAAAGTTGAAAAAAATCCTCTCCTGATTGATAACAAGAATTGCCTGAGAAGCCCAGTATTTTCACATTTTAGCATGAAAGTTTTCTGAAAAGAGAAATAAATCCTCACAGTGTTTCATCAAAAACAAGCCAAAACAAAACAGAAAACAAAACCAGAAACGTGGTATTTCTGGTGTCCTCAGTAGTCAGTCTATTCCTTTGTGATATGATTTTTCCATCAATGAAGAATCAAAGTATGTAAGTCTGTCTTGCAGATATGACCACTTCCCTGCTTGGGAAAAGCTGGAAAGCCCTGGATGGCCTACAGAACTGCGGCATTCTGAGCTGAATCACTCCACTTCTTTTAAAGAATATGAGGTGGCAATGAAGAGTTCCTTCGCTAAGCTTTTACAGTTAAGGGTTGCCATCTGCAATTGTCCCATTCTCCTCATTTTTATGCATGAGCACTTGCCTCTTCTTATCAGAACAACTTACTCATATTCCATCTGAACTTCTCTGGGCCTCAATTTTACAAAGATGACATTGGCACAGAACCTGGTTTGAAGCCTTCTCAATCTTTTCTCTTGCAGAGGTTGCATCTTTTGGTATCGGACAGTAAAAAGAATCCTTATTTAAATGAATTACTTCAATTGCTAATTTGAAATGTTAATGTTTGGTGGCATGACCTTTTCACATGTCAGAGCTATTGATGCTTGGATATGACAGTATGTCAGGATACAGCCCTTTCTGTTGAAAGGATTCCTGAACCATAACAAACTGTTTTGAAAATTAGCAGGGTTGGGGAGCTGTGGGTTAGAATTAAGAATGGGATCTAATTACAGGAAGAATTCTTAGAAAGCTCTTGTCTGAAATATGAAGCTCTTTAAGCAGTGATATGCATTAATGACAATGTACGTCTTGTTTAACTATTTGGATATTAGATAATGATTAGTTTTGTCAAACAGAAGTATTCAAAGAGAAGAAATGACGAATAACAGGAATAGAAAATTAGAATGAGTCAGATTCCACCTTACAGAAAATGAAATTGATTTCAGCTTTATCTGGAGTCTTTCCAGGTACCGGTACCTGAAATCCTTCCAAACTCCCAAGTCACCAAATTGTCTCTTAACTACAGTCCTCTTTCCCATCAGTATATTTCCCTTTTTCCATATCCTATTTCAAATGTATTTCCATTGTCCAATGACAGAGTTAGCATGCATTTAGTCCACCTTTATTCCAGCTTTCCTGGCATGTGGTTTCCTATGAGGTTCTCAACCACTCTAGGTGCACATGTCTCCACACTGGAGGGCTCAGCAGTCAGAGCACATGAGCCTAGATGTCTACCCTCCTCCTGCTTCACTGTATATCAGCACATAGTGGATATCCACATACAAGAAGTTTGGATTTGAATTTTAAACCCACAGATCTCAAGGAATCTGTCTCAGGGACTCTTTCTTAGCTTTTGCTGTCCTAACAAACATCTATCAAGAGCCCCTTGATGGGTAACAGTGCCAAACTAAATATAATGAACATCCTTTTAAAAGCAGGTGCTAGCTTATAAATCTCTAATTTTCCAAAAACTTTCTTAATAAGAGGAGTATAAAATTGTGTAAAGGAAGATGACTTTATTCTGCAGATATAGCTTTATCCCTGCTTATCCTTCCTTTCCTCTCACATAATCTTCCACACTGATTCCCTATTGCCATAGCAATGCCTCACAGCTAAATATTTCCCCTTCCTCCAGAGCTGATTCTCTGCTCTTCACAATTTATCTGAAATTATACTAAACCATAAGCTCTTCTTTTTATCTTCTTTTATGTCATAAGATTTCTGGTAACAAAGCCACATTCCCAAGGATATTTTAGGAACTGTATTTCTTCATCCTCTATCTTTAATCAAATTACTGATGCAAATAGCTGTGTTAAATCTGGCTCTTTATGAATAAAATAACTTAGAAAATTGTATATAAACTAATGATGTTCTCTTTGGGAGTCCTCAACACTAAGATCACTCGATTCATAAGAAGAGTATGTATCATATTATATACCTTCAAATATGCATTGTATATACACACATTTATTAAAATGTATTCATAAAGGTGAATTTTGTAAGGGATTAGCATGTTGCTGTGCATGTTGTCGAATGCAACACAATAGCATGCTCCAGGATTTAGGAGTAGGTTTCCCTGTCAGACAAATTAATCCACATCATCCTCTAGAGATCTCCACATCTTTCTGTGAAGCATGGCAGGTAGTGATTGCCAATGTTAAAGACAGCATATTGGACAAAATGGTAGCTACTCTTCATAGATTACTTTCTTAGCTTTTGCTGTCCTAACAAACATCTATCAAGAGCCCCTTGATGGGTAACAGTGCCAAACTAAATATCATGAACATCCTATTAAAAGCAGGTGCTAGCTTATAAATCTCTAATTTTCCAAAAACTTTCTTAATAAGAGGAGTATAAAATTGTGTAAAGGAAGATGACTTTATTCTGCAGATATAGCTTTATCCCTGCTTATCCTTCCTTTCCTCTCACATAATCTTCCACACTGATTCCCTATTGCCATAGCAATGCCTCACAGCTAAATATTTCCCCTTCCTCCAGAGCTGATTCTCTGCTCTTCACAATTTATCTGAAATTATACTAAACCATAAGCTCTTCTTTTTATCTTCTTTTATGTCATAAGATTTCTGGCAACAAAGCCACATTCCCAAGGATATTTTAGGAACTGTATTTCTTCATCCTCTATCTTTAATCAAATTACTGATGCAAATAGCTGTGTTAAATATACTGGCTCTTTATGAATAAAATAACTTAGAAAACTGTATATAAACTAATGATGTTCTCTTTGGGTGTCCTCAACACTAAGATCACTCGATTCATAAGAAGAGTATGTATCATATTATATACCTTCAAATATGCATTGTATATACACACATTTATTAAAATGTATTCATAAAGGTGAATTTTGTAAGGGATTAGCATGTTGCTGTGCATGTTGTCGAATGCAACACAATAGCATGCTCCAGGATTTAGGAGTAGGTTTCCCTGTCAGACAAATTAATCCACATCATCCTCTAGAGATCTCCACATCTTTCTGTGAAGCATGGCAGGTAGTGATTGCCAATGTTAAAGACAGCATATTGGACAAAATGGTAGCTACTCTTCATAGATTATGGCAATTTCCATTCTCAAGAAATGAGTACTGCTGCTAGTAGCACTAACCTAGCAGATTTCATTGTCTAAAGTTGGGCTTCCACTTGGAATCCTGGTTCTGTTTACTCTTTCTCCCAGATCAACCCATTATTTTCCCCTTTCTTCATGCCAGTCCTGGAGGGTATAACCTCATTACTTTATACAATTTTATTAACAAATTCATCCTCAAAAATCAAAGTGCACAAGTCAGTAGTGGAGGTTACTCTTAAGAATCACTGAACTGCTTCAGACAAAACAACCTTTCATCTGATTCTTAAGGAAAGCTGAACCTGGACCTATCCTGAGACTCGGTAAGAAATAGTTAATCTAGCTCTCTTTCCTGTGCTACTGCTGAACATTTCATCAGGAACTGAGTGCAAACAAAAATGAAAATACTTTAATTATCTTGGTCTCATTATCCAGAGTAGGAAAGCTTCACTAAAACAGATGAAGCTTGAGCAAACTAAGAGAACCTTTAGAATTATTTTATAATAACCCTTCATAAATTACTAGTAAATAGCATCATAAATTATTAGTAAATGGCAATTCACCTATGAAAATCTGTAAAAATAATTTAAAGGACATTTACAAATCTTTCTCTTTTTCTTTCTTCCTTTCATTCTTCTGTTTGAGATGATGTAGGTAGCAAAGGGGATCAGTAATTTTTCCTCATTTGGCTCACAGTTTGAAATTAGATGGCAAAAAACCCAAAGGGTTCTACATTTTTGAACTTGTAATTAAGCACTAAATATCCACGTAGATCCTGAAATGATTCTAGGACTAACTGAAGTTCTCAATATGGTTAAGAATTACTACTCTCTGCAGTCACAAAATGATATTTTCCTAGCAACCTGGCTCTGCTGATAAGAAAAGGAAGAGGCACTACCCAGCCAATAATACTGTAGAGGGGGCATGCCACACAACGCTGTACAGTGTGTTTCAGGCTGTATTAAAAATTAGCTTGTTGACCCTACCCCAAAGTTAAAACAGATTTAAATTGATCTAAGGAAAGAACATGGAAAAGATGAAGCATAAAAACAAACCCAATGATTTAATGACATGGAGATAACT